ATGCTTTTTATTATAACTGGTTACTCATTATGCTTTTTATTATAACTGGTTACTCATTATGCTTTTTATTATAACTGGTTACTCATTATGCTTTTTATTATAACTGGTTACTCATTATGCTTTTTATTATAACTGGTTACTCATTATGCTTTTTATTATAACTGGTTACTCATTATGCTTTTTATTATAACTGGTTACTCATTATGCTTTTTATTATAACTGGTTACTCATTATCCAATTCAAAAAGGTAAATGATTAGATTAAACATTTCGTTGGGGAATTTCATCGAACACGTTTAAGGCAATGTAAGACTCCAACTAAAAAAGCCACAATTCGTAAATAAAAATGCCACAATTCCCAAATCAAAAGGAAATTTCACAGATAATACATACAAATTTCACAGATAATAAATGAAATTTCACAAATTTCTCAAATGCCACAATTCATCGAACATGAAATAGATAGATAGATATATATATATATATATATACGTAGATATACATACAGTTGAAGTGAAGGGAAGGAGAGACAGAGAGATTCCACAATTCATCGAACAGGAAATAGATAGATAGATAGATAGATAGATAGATAGATATATATATATATATATACATACGCAGATATACATACAATTGAAGTGAAGGGAAGGAGAGACAGAGAGATTCGCGAGTGAAGGGAGGGAACGAGCTGTCGGTGTCGTAGTGAAGGGAAGGAGTGGTCGCCGGCGTCAGAGTGGGAGTCAGGCGTCGGAGTGGGGGGCAGTAGCAACTCAGATTTATGGTTCTGTTACCGTTGTTTGAGATGGAAGGGGGAAAAATTTCAAATGAAATGTGAACCTGTTGTTTGGGTCTTGTAAACACAGTCACGTGACTATAACGTGAGTGCCACCTCACTGGGGGTCGGGGTAACTGGGGGTAGGAAGCATTTTTGGAAGAATAAATTGTTTGAGTAACAAAAAAGTACAAGGTACAAAGACAGTACATGTCTAGTACATGGTGAAATTCAAGATACAGGTTAAATGATCAAAAGAAATGAACGAGTAAAACAATGAAGCCGAAGTAAAGTTTACTGGGATCAGACGGCTCAGTAGAAGAAAGATGTGTGGCAGAAATGGTTGAAAAATTGTACGTGCCAGCTCATACGCATGAAGAAAACTCTTGAAGTTCTTGATTTAATGAAACAAATACCCCGGCAAGAAGGACAGTTTCGGCTGAGAAACTTGAACAAATTTGGTTGTTGGTTCCAAAGCCTTGATGAAAGCAGACTATAGGTCTGGGTCATATTGAGCCGACGAGTTCTGACTTCGACAATAAATGATGAAGCAAGCTTAGCCGACGTGCTAGATAAAAGAGATAATATAGGTTCCATCACCTCAATTTGCCCAGGTAATAGAACCTAGGGGGCAGTTGTGGGGACATATTTTTGGGTAGTCCACGTGGCTAGGTTGTTAGCCGAGGTGCTACATGGACAGATCATGTTTGCCGAGATATTTGGGACACTTTCGAGGTATTCTGCGGCAATACCGAAATCCGAGATAAAGTAGATGAGGGACAAGAGTCCTAGAATGGCAGAAGACTTCAGTTTGAGTAAAGATAAGACTCTTAGAGAGTTTATCCTAATCCTACTGGGAGTCCAAGGTTAGCAGTAATCCTAAGTCCATTGAAGTTAGGCTTCTATTGGGACTAGAATTGAGTTTGCTATAAAAGAGAGGCACCCCCATGGGTCTATGGTATGCTTTTGATATTCTGTCTAGTGAGTTAAATACTATTGGTTATCTTTGAGAGATATTGGGTATTGAGTTGATTGTCGGAGTGCCCCCGGGTGGACGAGCCACCGCCGGAATCTTCTCTTTCTGTTGCAGATCAGTCAAGTGCCATCTATTCTGCCAATGCTCTCCAGTTGAATACTGAGTTGGCAGTGTGATCGAAAATTTACTCACACAGCTTTGATTAATACTTTTGAAGCACTGAATTATCAGTTAGTTCAGGCATCAACTATAGGTCTTTTCATAGTGTTTAATGATTGCAGTAGTAAACTTTCTAGAACAGAGTATTTGTAAGAGTTGAGAGAACTAAAAGAAATGCACTTTGAACGTCTGAGAAGTCTCTACACATAAATGGCAATAAATGGTCACCTTCCAACCCCACACACACACACATATATATATATACTGATGGTCACCCGTGCGATGCACAGGTTTTTAGAAAGTCAATAATTACTAAAAAAAAATTGCTATTTGTTTATATTTCTTAACATTTTTATTTGGTTTGTGTAGATAAATCTTACTTCACATCATTAAAAATATTTAATATTTCACATTATTGAAAATTTTAAAAAACTATCATACATTAGTAAATCATCACATATATAATAGCTAATTTATCTAAGAATTACTTCAGACAATCAAAAATAAAGTAATAAAGGCATATTATAATTAATCGAAATGACTAATATATTAAATTTAAGTAACAATAATTTTACTTAATCAATAGTAGATATTACATTAATCATCTCATATAATATAATAAATTAAAATAAAATTAATTTTAATTTCCACTATATTTAGTTAGTACATGCTATTTGTTTTTTCGTTATATTGATTCATTAAACACAAATAGGTTTGGAATGATTATAAAAAAAATTTAAAAAAATGTTTGAAAATGCATTATACTTGAATTGACAAACATAAAGAATATAAATATTTAAATTATTTAAATTCCCACTATATTTAGTCAGTACATGCTATTTGTTTTTTCGTTATATTGATTCATTAAACACAAATAGGTTTGGAATGATTATAAAAAAAATTTAAAAAAATGTTTGAAAATGCATTATACTTGAATTGACAAACATAAAGAATATAAACATTTAAATTATTTTAAAAAAAATTAACATTTTAAATATGAGATATTTTCCATTTGCTCAAACTCTGAATCTAAATAAATAAATAAATAATTTAAACAAAGAAGAAATTTGTGGTTTAGTTCTCAAAGGAAATGAGTTACTAAAAATAAATTTAATCATGAATTATTTCAATAGGATAATCAACAATAAAAAATCAACTGATAAATACATTTAAAGTATAACCCATATTCAATAAATTTTGATGTGTTCTTCATTTTCAATCTAACATCTATACCAAAAAAAAATTAAACACAAATAATCAATAAGTGGGAGTGTTACAAATTGATAATTGCAGTGCTTTTATAAATATAAAAAAAGAATAAAATCTCAATTAAATGACACATTATTAACAAAAAGAAAGAAATAAGGAAAAATACAGATTGTAACCAATTTTTTTTTTTTAAAAACAATAATATTCATTTATATTAACTCACTTTCTTACAAATGCAAAAACTCATGCAAGTACACGTTTCAAATGTAAAGCAAATATTTAAGATTTTTCAGCATCGAAAAGGGATCAGAAATGGCTCAATGTTGATTGTTTTCCTCCAAATTTTCTATTCATGGTTTCTTTTTACAGGAACTTGTTTTTATATTAAAAAAATTATGCTTAAACAAAAGATATATATGGAATTCTATCATGTTTAAAATTTATATGGATAAGTAATTGATGATTTTAAAAGATAAAATATTAAATTCCACTTAAAGATAAACTTTAAAAAGATTAAAATAAAATATATAGAAATTCTGTAACAAACTAACAAAAGATAAATATAGATCGTTAAAAAAATTATCATCTTTTTGGGATATTTATATCCCAATCTTATTCTTTTTTTTCATTTAAATATTTGTTATCTTTTATTTGAATTTTCATTAAATAGTTATATTTTTATTTTGTACATTTTTTCATCTATATTTATTTGTTATTCATATATACACAATTATCTTTTTTATTTTAAAAATCATTTGACTCGTAATATTTTTATTTAAATTTTTTAAATGTTCATATATAAATAGTTAATTTTTATTTTTATAATTAATTGACTCGTAATATTTTTTATGATAAAATATTAAGTTCCACTTAAAGATAAACTTTAAAAAGATTAAGTTAAATATATAGAAATTCTATAACAAACTAACAATAATAATATAGATCGTTAAAAAAATTATTCATCTTTTTGGATATTTACATCCCAATCTTATTCTTTTTTTATTTAAATATTTTGTTATCATTTATTGAATTTTCATTAAATAGTTAAATTTTATTTTTGATATTTTTTCATCTATATTTATTTGTTATTCATATATACATATTACCTTATTATTTTAAAAATCATTTGACTCGTAATATTTTTTTTATTTAATTTTTTTAATTGTTCATATATAAAAGTTAATTTTTTATTTTTATAATTAATTGACTCGTAATATTTTTTATTTAGTTATTTTTTTATCTTTTATTTGACTCTTTATATTGTTTTGTAGTTGAAATTTGAATAGTTATCATTTTATTTTATTTATTTTATATTTTTATCTCTACCTCTTTGTTGTTCATATTTAAATATTTATCATTTTATTTAAATATATATAATCATTTTAGCTTTTGAGATTTAGATAATTGACAAATAATTAAAAATTAGGAAAAATGAGAGGGGAGACTTGAGAAGTGACACGTAGAAGAGAGAATCCATAAGAATTTAGTATTAAGAGTTTGGAGAATTCTCATACTGCACTACATTTGTTTATATATATAGTATAAATATATCAATCTACTTTCTGTAATAGTGGGTGTATGTTAAATTGGAGTATATTTATTTCAGTACGGGGTACATGATAAGAACCCATATGCTGCACATGGCCAGTGATACAGTCATGTCATCTCTTGAATAAATGCTAGTTGTGCACTAGTAAATACATACACCAACACAATACTTCCACTTTTTGTTGTGTGAATTCAAGTAAAAAGTGGAAAAAATAATATATATGAAAAATTCATTCGGCGAAGATAATAAAAAAATAAGTAACAACAGCATGTAACTTGCTTCCGCATGTGTACCCAGTCAACAACTGAAAATAATAAATACAGTAATGAAGGTCCAATGTAAATGCACCAAGTCTTTACTTTTCTTCTTTTACTTTTAAAGCTGAGCTGAAAGTAACTACCCTTTGAAAAGTTTCCCAAACAATGCTGTTGTTCCTCTTCCAAAAATGTTCTTCTTCTCCTTCTTCTTCTTCTTTAACTTTGTTCTCTGTCTTTATTCTCCTTTTAGACATTGGAGAAGCTGTGATAAAGTTGCCAGAGAATGTGACAATACCGGCGGTGTTGATGTTTGGAGATTCAATAGTGGATACAGGCAACAACAACAATCTTGAAACAATTTTTAAGGTCAATTATCCTCCTTATGGCAAGGATTTCATCAGTGGAATACCAAGTGGGAGATTTTGTAATGGAAAGGTCCCCTCAGACTTTTTTGGTATGTAAGAATACAAAATTTATGTTCTTTGTGAAACTGACCAATTTGTTTGTTTCAGTAGATAATATTTTTTTCTAAAAAATGTTTCTTAATTGTGAGCTTGAAACTAATGTACTAGTGGTTATAGTAGTCGTGATGGTGACGGAATGTTGGTGATGGTATTGGTAAGATTTTAGTTTAAAAAAACATTTTCTACATTTTAAAAGCAATGTTCACCCAAATAAATTCATGAATAAAGATTGAGAGTTTTAATTTTGTAACTCTAAATAGAGCTTTAGTGATGTGGAAAGGAGTGAGACCCACATGTGATGTGATGTTTGTGTTTATATTTTTTTTTTTGCATTTTTTTTTTTTTTGTCATATCACTAGAGCTCTCTTTAGAGTTCTAAAATTAAAACTCTCTATCATTGTTGTAAATTCATTTTTCGTTGACTCAAAAAAAATTTGTTCATTAATTTTTGTTTTCGTTGTATCAAATGCCAAAAAAATGTAGCGAAACAAACAGAGTGCAAATGTTAGGTAGATATATATTTTGGGCCAGTTATTAATAATCGAAGTTATTGAGACAATGGGTAATCTGATATGGCATTCTCAGTGTGTTTGCCTCGCACTGCCTCTACTTTGTGAAATGGGATCACAATGAGAAGGAGTATTAGCTTAATACATATTGTTGAATCTGTTAGGAAAAATAGATGATTTTTCACTAATAAATCAATCAATGAAAATAAAAATTAATGTAGAAAAATTAAATCAATAATGACACAAAAATTTGTACGGGATTCTCTCAATGTAATATACGTGCATAGAATTAAAATCTGATTCCACTATTAATTAAAGAGTTTTCAAACAATTATAAACTACACACGAATGGTCTCACAAATCATCTTAGGTAAATTCTAAATAATTACAAATAATCAAGAGAAAAGACCTCACTAAAAATTTTCCAAACAAAATTGTAGAACCAAAATGATGCACCCAAATCATTACCGAAACCTAAACCAGATGAAGCAGAGCAAGCATATTGCTTGTTTGCCCAAGCAATACGCGCACAGCCACAACTTAATAGTTAACCCACCGAATAATGATTAAAAAAACTGCTGCTCCACCAAGCCAAACTGCTGCCCCTTTCAAAGATAAAAAAAAAAATAATTCAAAAATATTGTTGTTTTTGGATTTTTTTTATCGAAACCCTAACTACCACTAAACAAATTATTATTGAACTTTCAAAAGTTATAATCAAATCAAACTAAATTAAAATTCTTTTAATAAATTAATTGAGTCTCCTACTATACCAACAATTCCAAATTTATCTAACACTAAAATCTCTCTAAATTTGTGGCATTTTTCAGTGGAGGAATTGGGAATTAAAGAGCTCTTGCCAGCATATCTTGACCCCAATCTGCAATCTGATGATCTCGCGACTGGAGTGAACTTCGCTTCAGGGGGTGCTGGATTTGATCCTCTAACATCTGAGCTTGCGGTACATACATATATTTTTCTCTCTTCTGTTTGCAACCTCCTACATTCTCTTCGGTTGTGTTTTTTGACATGCACATTTTTTTTTTTTTCTTTTTTCAAAATCTGATTAAAAATCAGTCAGTTATATCATTGTCAGATCAGATAGAATTGTTCAAAGAATACATAGCAAGGCTGAAAGGAGTGGTTGGGGAAGAGAGAACAATCACAATATTGGCCAACAGCCTATATGTGGTAGTAGCAGGAAGCAATGACATTACAAATACCTACTTCAATAACCCTATCCGAAAATTGCACTTTGATGTTCCTTCTTACACTGATCTTATGGTCAACTCTGCTTCCAACGTTGTCCAGGTATTAGTTTCGAATCACCCTGCTTTATTCCAGTTTGAATTCAATACCAATTATACGTCAAACTTCTTCTTAGCTATGCTATAATGGGTCGGTTCTTGGTTGGTTCGGGTAATCCACTCACCAATCTAAGAACCGCATTGTTAAATTTTTAGATTCAGAATTCAACCGAACCAACTCAATCTATTAACACAAGGTTGATTTGGGTAATGGGTTGTTCAATTCTTTTGCTTAGCACTAGGTAAGATAATTTTGTACCTATGCCTAACAACATCTCCAATGGTGTGTTATTGGAGCTGCTATTGCCAAATTATGGCAACAAAATTTTAACAGCCGCTATCTTTGGCAAATGCCAAAACTTGTGTCAAGCTTTGGCAGCTGCCAAAGCTGCCAAGTCACCTGTATGGGAAAGGAATAAACCTTCTCGTATAATCCTGTTGATCAAGTCTGCGCTCCTCCAAACGTCGTCGCTTTACTCCCTGAAAACACAAACGTGAGCTAGCTGGCGGGTGTGTGCTGGAAACCCCTCCGATGCCTAAGTCAGAAAAATAGACAAAGACAAGAAGCTCTGTGTATCAAAGTTGCGTGTTACCTCTCCATAGGTGATGTTTGTGAGCTTTTATAGGTTCCGTGTGGCACAATCCAAGTAGGACTCTTACTCCTCCATGTAGAGTCCTCCTAGGATTCATACTCCTGAAGGATAATGCTTATCCTTCAACACCCCCTCACTGCTTAAACCAAGTAAGATGGTTTTATCATGGCCGGACTACCATACAACCGAAATAACATTGCCATGCTAGACTAACTGGAGTGACCGATCTAACTGTTAGTTCGGCTCTTCCTTGCTTTTCTCCTACCTCGGCATCACATGCCAAGACCGAGCTATCCATAGAAGAGTTTAAGCCGAACTAATCCAAAACCAAGTCCTGAAGAGGGCTCAGTATACTTCGGTTAACTATGCCATGACCGAATTAACTGTAGCGACCGAACTAACCATACTGCGACAACCGGTACAAGTTTTAGTATGGTGATCAAGCTAACCTCTTTGGGACTGGAGTAACTTTATGGCATTTTTATTCAACCCTTCGCACTGAGGCCCACAACGGCCCAACTCGACCCAATTTACATATAAATTCCCCTCTCATCACCAAAACCAACCGTTTCCTCCCTCCCTCCCCCATTTCTCATCCTTTCCAGCAAAACAGAGATTGGATGAAACTGCCTTTTTTCTTGAATTTTTTGTAAAATCAAATTCACCAATTTTTATTTTTTTATTTTTTTTCTAAAACAGAAATTGTTTATAAAAATTAAAAAAAAAAAACAGAAATTGTGTGAAACAGCCAAGCCCTTCAAAAAAAAATTAAAACATTTTACAAAAAATAAAATAAAATAAACATAATCAAACAACAACAATCAACAATCAACAAATTTCAACAAGTAATTTCAAACAAATTTATAGAGCAATCAAGCAATTTCAAGAGAATTTTAAACAATAAATGTATAATTTTTTTTTACAAACAGTTTAAAAAAGGTCACAAAAGATAAAAAAAATAAACAAAAATAAAATTACTAAAAAACCTATATTCAAACAAAACCTATAAATTTGGAGGGAAAATTGGTTGAGAATTGCTAAAATAGCATATAACCATTGGAGTACCATTGCCATAATTTGACAAAATAGCGCTATTCATTGTCAAATAGTAGCAATAGCAATGGTATTATAATAATAACCATTGGAGATGCTCTAAGGGTCATTATTTTGCCTGTGGCCTGGACCAACAGGTTTTTACCTAACCCAAGTCCGCACCCCGGGTGAGCTAGGATAGCTTGAGTATGGCCTGGACTCAAAACCTGGTCCATTGGCCCATGAGGGCTAACATAAAATAAAAATAATAAAAAAAAAAAGGAAAAATGATTACAAAATTAAAAAATAGGCTCGAAACTCAAATCTGTTAGAGCTTAGATAGTAGCTCAACCAGCTAGCTTGTCTAGCCAAGCGCATTGAACAATTTTTGGCACTGAGCCGGCTTGGCTCACAAATGGATTTGAGCACCAATTTCACAGGCTGGACCTGGCCTTGAGTTAAACAACTATAAATATATCTAATTTGCTGAGCTTTGCATTATTTTTATTATGAAGGAGTTATATGGATTGGGTGCACGAAGAATTGGTGTATTTGGTGTGCCACCAATAGGATGTCTGCCATCACAGAGAACTTTGGCAGGAGGACTCCTCAGAAACTGTGCAAAAATTTACAATGAAGCTGCAACATTGTTCAACACAAAGCTCTCAGTCACGCTAAACTCTTTAAACCACAAGCTTCCCCATGCAAGGATGGTCTACATTGATGCATACAATCTCCCTCTCGATCTCATTCGCAACCCTAGAAAATATGGTAACTCATCTTTTGGCTTGCTATTGCAATTTGAAAAAATATTCTTACTTAGTTCACCGTGTCTATAGGTTAGTGATTGCAATTTTCTTCATATAATTAGGTGCCGTTTAGTAACACTTACGTTTTCAGTTTTCTGTTTATATTTATAAAAATTTTAAAAACTCAAATAAAAACTTGTTTGGTAAAATTTTTGATTTATAAATCAGTGGTCTCAGTTTATAAATTTGGCCAAAAAATGAAAACACAAAAAATGTGTTTCCTTTTTGAGTTTTCAGTTTTTTTTTTTTTTCACCCAACACTAGCCACCCCCCGCCACCATTTTCCACCACCGTCTTCCGCCAGTACTGCGAAAGTTTATAGTCCTCCAGCACAAGGGACTTGTGTTACTTAGGCCCGTAGCCTGGTTTAACAAGGACCGCATCCTTTTATTCTTAGTACTGCGAAAG